AACTTTCAAAAGAGCCATCATAAGACACACATTTCTATTAAAAAAAACACCGCTTACGTTATTACTGTCACGCAGATGACGCATATGTGAAACAAGTATCTCACAGGACGCAAATAAAAATTGACCTGTTTCAGGATTTTTGTCCAAAATCACAGATTTACGAAATAATGAAGTTATTGCTTTCATGTTGTATGTTAAAGAACCAAGTCACCAATAAGTTTACAAAATATTATTCTTATTATTCCTATTTTCAGTAAGTCCTTCTATACGCCGCGTTATGTATCAAGAAATTTAATTCGATTAGATTCTGAACATACATTTTACTTTCTCCTCGCCATCCTTCTACAGCTTTATACGCCACACACTCCAGCGATCGAGTAAAACGAGACTTTAATAATAAGATCCGATTTATATTATCTATAAATCTTACAAATCTGGCAGAAATCTGGCGAAAGACGGAGCTGAAACGGCGCTAAACGATATAATCATTTAATTCAATTGCGAGTGCGTCGTGTTTATGTTCACATATCAGCGACTCGTCGACGACTTGTTATAAACTCAAGACTAAGATGATGCCTGGGGTTATTTATCACCGCAGTTAACGCCACACACAGATAAATGCCCCCCTCCCGATAGGACCCCTCTTTCCCCACGAATAACTCCAAGAACCGCCCAAGGAAACGTCAAGCACAGAAACAACAACGGATTAGGTTTCAGTTCGGGAACAAATTACCAAAACAAAATAAATATCATTTTCTCTAGGGGGATATATCTGCTATATAATTCGATTAGGCTCCATTGAACGCGAAAATTATATGAAGCAATATAATTCAATTATTAAAAATGTACACAAAACTTTTCAGTTCATCTGTTAAGGAATATGGCAGTATCAGTCAATTTAAAAATTATATCTAAGGTGATAGCTTCTCTGTTCTAAATATAATTACTTATCTTATCAATTAACTCCAGTTGACGATAATTATTGTAAAACGCAACAAATTCATAACCTATTCATATTCATAACCTAACTTATTCATAACCAACCTTTTTTAGTTAAGTATACACTAATATAAATTTTATATAAAATTACACACAAAATTCATTGATTACTTTGATGCCAAACAGACTGGGTAATGCAATATGCCGTTATACATGTAAAGTTCCAATCAAAATACAGGGAGTTAATGAACTTATGTCAAAAGGGTGAAAAAGGAGTTAACTGATGTCACAAACTTGTATCGGAAGTTTAAGGCCATAGAGGAAGAAGCTAATTAAAAATGTGTTTAAAACTGTTTTGGAACTGCTGAAATACATTTATTTTATTGTGGGGAGTAGGTACTTACAAAAAATTCTGTAACACTTTTTACGAGTTTGCAGTTTTCTTATGAAGTCGGACTGTATTCGAATGTCAGTTTGCAATGCATTGTTGTGGTGATTGCTGTGCTGCTTTTCGAGAGTACCTACATTTAATAGCCGTATTTCCAAGTTTTCTTTTGACAATGGCGCATTTATTTAGCAATCGCGAATATTATGATATGCTCACAATTTATGGTGAAGCAAACGAAAATGCCCACAGAGCTTGTCAAGTGTACCCTGAAAAATATGCTGAACGACGGACGTGCCCCCGCACCGCGAACATTTGTTGCTGTAGCGTAAAGAATTTTGGTCACCGGTGAAGTACAACCGATGCAACGTGTTCAAGCGCTTACTCTTGAGGATTTTCACTGCGTCGAGGTTTTTGCGAATGGTTGCTTCAGGAACATGCAAGAAATCCTCAATTTACAGCGCAAATACTTGTTACAAATGAAGCATGTTTTAGTCGAAATGGTATACGTAACGTCTACAACACTCACCACTGGACTATCGATAATCCACACGAAATACGTTTCAACAACAGTTTTAAGTAAACATGTGGGCCGGTATCATTAATGACACTTTAATAGGACCTTTTCAATTCCCTGGACGCTTAGACGGTGCTTCATATCTAGATTTTTTTGCAAAATCGCTTGTCGGAGTTATTGGAAGATGTTCGGCAAAATATGTGGTTACTGCATGAAGGAGCCCCCGCTCACTTTTTTCGGAGACTGCGCGGCTTTCTAAACATTTGCAACCTGAGGGGTTATTTCTTTGATTATCTACCTCTAATTAATTATCTGTTTAATTCTCGAAAGAGTTACTACTTAATTCTCGAAAGGGAGTTTATAATTATCATTATACTTTAATCAATACGTGGGAACTTAGAAATGCTGTATGTTCAGTGAATTAATTCCAAGCACTTACTATTCATCGCTTACGTGGAATATAATCCTGTGGTTGGCTATACAGGGTGACACTGAAGTTGGAGAAACAAAAGGAAACACCAAAACTTCCAGGAAGGGTTTTAATAACATTAAACAAAACAAACAAACAAAATAACAACAAACGACTCGAACAACATTATTAATGAATTGATTTAAATACGACAGCGTGCCGAGATTCAGGGAATGCGCGCTTCATACAAAATTTGGAAAAACTTTATCCATTATTAAATTTAATTAATTAGCCCGAGACTCTACAGTTAATAATTAGACTGCTCAATGTGAAACTCAAGGAAGAACTGACTTTTTCTCCTAGATCTCTCCTGAATTACACACTTCGCTTTAACACGCCCATTTCTTGGGTCCAGAAGTTTCGGTTCTTATCTTATTGGCGGGGACCCTGAGTGTCGGGATGCTTTAATAAGTAGGTTCATAATTATCTAATTGACTTGACTTACAATTATATATGAATTCTGAAACTAAACTAAATCCTAGCCTTCCACTAGTGACTCCGCGTAGCAAATACGGGGCGGATTAGTCAATGTCATTTAATATTTTCTTAATAGCTTGGAAAATCCGCCGAAAAACCAGCTATGATCTGTTACTTTCTTTTCCAATTACTATTTCAGTTTAACAATTTAATTTAAGTCTACTTTGGAATCCCTACGCTCTTGATATACTATATACTACTTGAAAGCCCTCAACTTTCGATAAGTTGTGATGACAGAAATATTTTACTTTTGGCCTAACCGTTCTGAGAACTAATAAATAAATGACTGCGCGTCCCGGCTTTTGTTACACATTACTTTTCCCGATCGCTGGATAGGCCATGGCAGCCTAGTTAGGTGGCCCCCCGGTCCCCTTTAGACTTCTTTTTGTGGGGATATGTGAAAAGTGTTGTGTATTACTCGTAAGTTCGTAATATCGACCATCTGCGACATCGTATTGTCGAAGCTTGTAATACGTTTCGAATGGACGTGGCAATGCTGCAACGCGTTGATACGTTGCGCTGAAGCTTGTGTGCAAGTAAATGGTGGGTACATTGAACATCTTCTATGAAAATCAGCAGTTCTCAAAAGGTGGCTCCTTGCAATGTTGAGGTAAGTCAGATTTTAAAATTACATTTTAATCAACACAAATCCGTGTATTTACCTCATTTTGACATAACGGACATGTGGCAAAAATATTTGACATAAGTTCAATAACACCCTGTATAAATTTGCAGTTGATATATGCATATTTACGACACCTAAAGTATTTTGTTAGAAATAGAGAAACTACATTGTATTTTTAAATAGAAAGAAGAAATCTATATTATTATGTTACGTAACATTTCTACAAATATGCTTTTTTAAATATTACTACTTTTCAATGTGGCAAAGTACAACGTATCTCCATGAAGGGAACATAAGACGATCGTAGTACCTTTCACAAGGAGAAGAAATTTGGTTGGACTCCCTAAACCAATATTAGAGGAGAGGTGTATTCGTCTTTCCAGGTAGGTTACATATCTAGGATTGATACTGCATGATAAGCTTACCTGGAATGCATACTTGGAAATAGTGGTAAGTAAAGCGTAACAGACATTGTGTGTATGTCGTCGCCTTATCGGTGGAACCTGGGGACTGAAGCCATGGAGTGTGACTGTAAGAGTGTCCTTTGTAGAAAAGAACGAATGATTGTTGAGAATTAATAAAATTCGGCTCAGGAAAGTTATGGAACTTCAGACACTGTCACTTTGGAAAACATCTATACAAGCTAAAGCTTATATGTAGACAGTCCGGTCTGTCAAGTATATTACTCGGTGAATAAAACTTCATTACATATCTTGTAGGATTTGCACGTAGTAGAATGGCGTTCCTGGGAAAACCACAAAGCACGGTTTTCGGCCCAATTGGAAAAATAAAAAAATGCATAATTTTTATAGCTTGGGGCTAGACAAACAAAATTTAATCGATTTTAGCCCAAACGGACCCACCATCCACATCCACTGCCACATTCAACTACTATAACAGGTAGTAGTGGCAGAAAAATGTCTTTTTACACATCTCTAGGGCTAGACAAGCAATATTTTGTTGATTTTAGGCCAAACGGATCCAATGCCTATCTTCCCATACACATTCCCATAATTCTAATCACGTCCAACTATTGTTACAGGTAGGAATGCCAGAAAACTCAAACTGAAACTCAGATAAACACAAACTAGCGCTCGGACAAGCAAGCTCAACCTGAATAACGGCCTGGTAAAATGTAATTAAACGATGGTGAGAAAAAATCTATTGAGATGTTCAGGCTGCCAAAACCAGGCTGAAGCACGAACATCAAATTCAAACAAAGTTCAATCAGGTAAACCCAAACTGAAGCTAGGATAGGGAAACTCAAACTGAAGCTCAGACATGGGAGCTCAAATTCTAACAGAAGCTCCAGCTGGTAAAACAAAGCACAAGCTCCGTCAGGCAAAAACAAACTGAAGCTCGGACAGGAATTTGATTTACCGCCATTGGGCGTTTACTATTTTCTCAATGACATTTCTTTCATTGGAGTAAATCTCTTATAAATGCTAAAAACCTTTTGTTGACTGTTAGTTTCGTTCTACTCTTGGCGTTACCCAAGAACAATGACGTGGACGTAGTAGATTACTGCTCTATTTGGAGTGCTTTTTTAACGCAAGTCCCCTTGTCTTTAACAAAACGGATTTTTTACTTATCATCTTCCTCTTCTGAAGTTTCTTCATTTTTTCCTTCATCTTCTCCAGAAGACTCATTTCCAGTATAAACGGATGCATCTGATAAGTACTAAGAGTATACGGCACTCTTATACTGTGGGAAATTTTGGGTTGGATCCGTTCTCCAAGCAAGTGAATATTGCTTTTATTACATGTCCTAGTAGTTGGATGTCTGTACGTTATTAGGGGTATGTAGGGCAGTTGTTAGGGGTGTGTCCATTTGGGCTAAGATCGACTAAATTTTGTTTGTCTGGCCCCAAGCTAAAAAAAATCATGCCATTTTTAATTTTTTTTCCAATTGGGCCAAAAACCGCTTTTAATGACCCTCCTCCTTTAAACAAACTCCTCAATGTTAAAGACATATACACTGAAAGAAATGGGCTTATTAACTGGAAGGTGCTTAATACACCTTATGCATCTATGAAATAAAGGTTATAATGAATTACTTATACATTATTAGGTGTTATAGACTTTATGTTCCAATTGTATAGTAGGAAAAATTTGTTGTATAAAGACCAGTATCCGAATTTGTATATAACAATTATATTAACAGAATTATTCGTTCTTATGCTGAATATGTTTCCGTTTTTAACGTGTAAAACGCGTCTTATAATGGTTAAGTGATCGTCACCTCTCCGTGCATAATCGGTTATGATCGTAAAATTTCCGACAGTCCGCTGTGCATCGACTTACGAATATTACACGTCTAGTTTGATGAAAATAGACGGTATAGGCACATGTTTTGTGGGATACATGATCATATCGCGTTGTGTGAAATGGAAAATTATGTAAGTATCTAATTGTTTTATGGCTTGTAATTGTTTTGTTTTTCAAATGTTTCAAATGTTTTTTCTTGTCTAAATCTTAAAAATTATTATCTTGTAGGTATGCTCTATTAGAAACCGCTGATGGAAGTTTTACATAAGATAAGAAGAACAGAACGCTAGCGGTGACAAAGAGGATCATGGGTATAAAGTCAATCAACCAGAGGGAATAGAATTAGAAGGAAAGATGTTCAACCTTTCAGGGGATGCTTCATTCTTAAGGTGGAAGAGTTATAGTGCAAATTCTCATGTAATACAAGAAAATACGGGTGCATCGTTACTAAGAAAATAAACTGGACAATTTTGGGAGCGATTTGTCATCATTTTTAATGCTTAAAAGTATGTTTTGTGTATGTTTACATTAGAACCTTAGCTTGTAATTACAGTTATCCAATAAAATTTCTGAAAACTTAGTCATATATTTTTAACTCATACAGAGTATACAACAGTTTAATACATTTATTATTATAACCAGTACTAGATGTTCTAATAACGATATGGAACACTTTAATAACAGTTATTGCTATTATTTCGTAAAGGGTATAAAAAACATTGTATATTAGTTATACAATAATATAATAAAGAATAAGGTTTATAGTCACTATACAACTGTGCTAGCAGTACGCGTTTTATATCCAATATTCACCTGTTTAACTGTCACATATAGTATACAATGGTCTTATAAGGGCATATAGAATTCTAATAAAGAATACAGCGCATTTCTTTCAGTGTATTATCCAAAGTACAACAAATTCTGTTTGTTGTTCCAGTTGATACATAAGCTCAAAATCTTGAGGAACGTACTCGCAAAAAGTAAAGATTCAGATGAGACAGAAGACTATGTGACGATTTAGAAGAGGAAAAATTATGACTGGAAAAAACAGAGTATTTATGAAAACTTTACTCGAAATGATCTAAATATTATTGAAAATTTTAACAATGCATATACATATTTCAATATGCAATAAAATACATATTACATTACATTTAAAAGTACCTTTTAACTTTCGGTGTAATCGACAGTGTAGTTATTTTGGGAATTTCATTCAAACGGCTATTGCCGTCTTCGTTTTCTGCAATACTTCTAAAAAATAATGAGCTCAACTTCTAATATTTTTCAATCATCGTGTATTAGATGTTGAATTATTATACGCAGGCATTCAATATTACTTTATTAAATTTAAAATAAACAGATTTTCCCTTACGGTCAACTCGTTTCTGTGTAATACCAGATAAAAAATATAAAACGTTTCACATTTCATTTGATGCATTTACGGGGAGCGCAGTCTGCACAAAGCCAACGGTAACCTGCAAAGACCAACGATGTATGTTCTCGTTTACTCGCATCATTAACCACTCATAAGAGTCTTTGACCCTGGACCTCTGGATTCATAAAAGCTTTTGCAGAAAAGCGACTGTGCTCGCCTCCTATAGTCATCAGTCCTATGTTTTGAACCATATTTGCTCCCCAATATGCTAGCCGATTAAAGAAAATGTCTGATAGAGAAACTACACGTACACCGAAAGAAATTCGCTTTATTCTTTATAAGAATTCTAAATGCCATTATAAGAACAATGCATACTATATGTGACAGATGAACAGGTGAATGTTGGATATAAAACACGTATTGCTAACACATTTGTATAGTGACCATAAACCGTATTCTTTATAAAATTATTACTCTTTACGAAATTATAGCTATAACTATTATCAAAGTGTTTCGTACTCGTTATTAGAACATCCAGTACCAATTAGAAGTTTTATAATAATAAATGTATTAAACTGTTGTATACGTGTAATCAGTTAAAAAAACATACATTAAATTTTTAGTGGTTGATTACCTTTACCCGTGCGCTTCTTTGCCACCATTATGTAAAGCGTAAAGCTACCTTATGTAAAGCGTTTCTAGTAGGGTACACAAGATCATAATTTTTAAAATTTAGACAAGGTGTATCCCACAAATCATGTGTCTATTCTCATCCAACTAGAAGAAGCATAATAGTGGATGCACAGCGGACTGTCGGAAATTTTACGATACTAACCGATTATGACGATTACTAACTATTATAAGACGCGAAACATTATCATAATGAAATCGAATAATTTATGTTAATATAGTGTTATAATACAGATTCGGATATTGGTCTTTATACAACAAATCTTCCCTACTATGCAAATGAAAGATAAATCCCATAACACATAATAATATAGAAGTAATTCATTATAACTTTTTTCATAGATTCATAAGGTGTATTAAACGCTTTTTAGTTAAACTTATTGAATAATGAGTATGGGATGACTGCTTTTTTTAAAATAAAAATTGCATTTTGTTCTAAACGTTTTAATATGCCCTATGCCCATTTCTTTGAGTGTGCAGAACTATTTTATTAATTCTACCAAAAAGTGAATTCGATAAAGTTTGCGTCAACTTTGATAGTTAAACTGAATCAATTATTTTTGGGGCGGTTACTTCTAGGCTCCTTTTTATTTTCAAAGATATTTGCTCTCTTCTGAAATTTCCTTTTAAACCTAATGCTAATTTGTACCAAAGTGGCAAAAGCTTCGAAAAAGAATCAAGAGATCATTTGTCGATCAAAACCTTCACAAAGAAAAACTAAATAGCCCATAAAAGCGCATATTTCCAAAATATAGGGGCGCTATTCTTGGGCACCATGACACTGATTAAAGTGATGGAACTAAAATTCTACGAATTGAAAGGCCTGTTTTCTTTTATAAGTAGTACCAATTTGATTAAATTCGTTTATAGGTTCTTGATATATAACAAAAAGTTTTTTTTAAGTCAAATGCTTACAGAAAAGGTACAGTTATTTTTTATAAGGAATCTGTTCCTGTAACTTTAATACTGAAAACGCTAATCGGAATGTATTTAACCGAAGGAGCACAAATAGTATCGGATACTCTGAGGCCAGAGGTGTAACGGAGTGTTTGCATAAAAAATGTGTATTTTTATCAATGAATACTATTCTGCGATGAAAGTTAATGCAAACTGTATAATCAATTGGTTAATAACCCCTTTATATACCTGTATATGGTACATGTTTATTTGATTTTAAAAATTTCTAATTGAATTGTATGCCATTGTCACCAACTTTGTTACGTATGTTATTACAGAAAACTTCTTATTTCAGCAACTCCTCTTTGTCTCTCTGTTAGCAAATAGAAGAAGAACGGTGGTATAAGGTTTTAGTTAAATTTTCTAATAACAGATGGCACAACTGAAGTATAGTCTAGCATGTCATGGCTGTCCACCAAATTCGTATCACTTTAATATGTTTTTAAATTGCCAGTTAAATAATTATTTCATAAAAAAAATAAAAAAATACTGGTCAAGTTTATTACACTATTTCATTTTATTTATAATAAAAGAAAAACGTGGCAAACACCCCATTGAATCAAATATACCTTTTTGAAAAACACAGCACCAAAATATACACCGAACTTGTAAACAATTACGTTATCAGTGGCGGAGATATTGGAAGACGTTTTCACTGAAAATTACCAGAATTTCGCCACCGAGTGGTTCATAATTTCTATAAATTCATTTCTATAAATTCATTTCACAGTTGCAATTCCAAGAAAAACTATCTCTTCCATTTTGTAAGAAAAGTTAATCATCAATTATTGCTTTTTGACGTAAAATGAACTTATTATACAGTTGACTAAATCGAAAATAATTCTAAAACTGCACTTTTCATAGAAAAAAATGTAAGGGAATTTTTTGAAATAGAAAATATTTTAAATGCAAAAAATTCAAAATGTCTATGTTTTTTTAGATTCTCAATGATTACATTGCATTTAAAATTGTTTACATGTTTGGCGAAACGAAGTTTTTACAGTTATTCTATATTTATTCAACTGTACACTGAAAGAAATGGACTTATTAAACTGTTAATCTGGAATAATGTGTATAGCGGATATTAAAACTTTTATAACAAATATACAACTTTTATTAAAAAAAAATAAAGGTTATAATGAATTACTACATTACATTATTATGTTTTATAGACTTTATGTTCCAGTTGTATAGTAGGAAAGATTTGTTGCTTAAAAACCAGTATCCGAATTTGTATATAACAATTGTATTAACAGAATTATTCATTCTTATATTGATTATGTTTCCGTTTTTAACGTGTAAAACGCGTCCTATAATGGTTAAGTTATCGTCATCTCTCGGTGCATAATCGGTTATGATC